GAAATTTTCTCGCATTCAAAGATGTTAACTTGACAGACACTGCACTCCAAAACTATGTGTTGTTGCCAAAATGTGAAAATATCTATCAACCATCTATCATGTATTTTGACTACACTAAGTGACATTCTTGCCACAACTTACATTCCAAAGTTCCCCTTCACCGACTCCTTCATCTGTGCTGGAAAGATGAGCCCAGGATTCCTGGAAAATTATAATAAAGATATTGGTGACTACAGACTGACATTAAATTTCCTCGATCTATGCACTATGTGTATTTGGCCTTACCTCAGTCTCCTCACAGGGCGTAGTCTCCAGGGACATAGTTGAAGACATCATGGAGTCGCCAACTTTTCCCAGGGGTAAAGGAGGCTCCCACTGGGTGGTGCCTGTGGGGATGTGCCAGTAGTATGTGCCTGATGTATCCCGCACCCTCATCCATCCCGCAGGCAGGTCTGTGTCTGTCTCAAAGGCACTGGAATCCCAAAAGGACTCTGAAAGGAAGGGAGCGGATGAGAAACACTGGAGGAGAGACTGTTTATGGCAAACACTGTTGAAGGGAAACTTCAAAATGTCTGGTTGTTTGCAGCATCTAGTGTTGCACTTGTAAAGCTGCCTCACCTCATCTTGGTGGTATGAAATGAATATAACTGACCACTGACATGACGCTCATAAGATTAGATTACTACTACACTATTACTATAAACTAAGCTTTGCTATTCTTAACAACTATACTTCACTATATACTACTGTGCTATAATACTATTGAATAATGATACTGATAAAATGAGACTGTACTGGCATCAGCAAACAAAATGTTTAAGCTGACTCAACAAAACAATATTGCACAAAAGCAAAACACAGGAATTGTCTCCAAAGCACATATATAGTGTTTCTTCCCACTCCTTTTTTGGTCTACAAATGGTCAGAAAATGGTGGAAAATGCCGATCAGTGTTTCCCAAAGCCCAGGATGACATCCTCTAATGTCTTGTTTTTTTCCACTGCAACCCAAAACTATTCAGTTTACTGTCATCGAGGGGTGAAGAAACCAGAAAAAAAATAAATCACATCTAAGAAGCTTGAATCACTACCCCCCCCCTTTTTTTCTTAAAAAAAAAAAAACAAACAAAAAAAACAAAAAAAACTTAAACTGACTAGCTGATTATTAAATTAGATGGCAAATTAATTTAATAGTTGACAAATAATCCATTAATAATTGCAGCTCTAATGCATACTGTATGCTTTTGCAAACAAGTCCAATAAAGGGTGCAATATGTGCACTTAACCTGTTCACACGAGGTAGGTACAACATTTTTAAAAAAGATCAGATTTGCAACAGACAAAAAAGGTAATTTTTCAAGAATGACAGCTTCATTCATTAACACTTTACTATCTGTCCCCTGTCTACCATCTATAAACAGTATGCAAACATTTAACAAATGATTTATAACACACTATATATCAAGTTATGAGCAGATAAAAGGATATCTTTTCAAGTTTACAGTGTTTGTCGGCAATTATAACTTCTCCTTAAGAGGTATATTTGATGTTATTCAAACTAACCCTAACCCTTACTATCATTCATTAACTTTTTCTACAGCAGCCTCCTCTTATGGTTAGTTAATCATAGTTATGTTGTTAACAAATACATTTTAATGAACACTAATAAACACTATCCTGCTTATAACTACATTATAGTGTCATAAACTACTTATTAAATACCGGTATATTGTTTATAAATGATAAATATGGGGGGCCAGAAGTAAAGTGGTGCCCTCTTATCCAATCTGGAGCTCATTGACTCAAAGTGCAATATATAATCTTGTACAGTAGGCCTATAATGAAAGCATAATCATGTACTGACGTTTTCACCATGCCATTTTTATGTTTGCTGCTGTCTGTAAAACCTGTGACATCCAAATGCTCCATTAGGCATGTCTTATGTTGTAATATAGCATAAACGTGTGGCCTAAGTATCAAATTCATGTACTTGTATTTACCTCTGTTGCCATTTGGAGAGCTGTCGGCTGTGTTGTCCTGAGACACTGCAGGCCAGCTGGGCTCTTCATCATTTGGTGTCCCATTTAGGTTGGAGAACAGGAGGCAGGCATTTCTCCCCACAACACTGCCCTCTCTGTGAGACTCCCCATTGCTCTGGTCTTCTGTCACTCTCCCTCCTCTGGTATCACCTGATGTCTCTTCGTCTTCCTCTGATGTCTTTTCCTTGTCTTTATCATCTTCTTCTCTCTCTTGATCTTTCTCTTCTGTAGATTCCAGAGTGTCGATGAGCAGAGGCTCATTAAGGATGTTCTTGGACTCCTCCTGATTGAGACCAGGGGTCATTGCTATTTTGGGAGACTTGGTCTGCTCCTCGTTTCCCTGTTGTTCTTCCTGAGTGGTGTTCTGATGAGGGAAGTCATCCTTGTTCCCATTCTGGCTGATATTGCAGTTGTGGTCCTGGTCCTGCTGGTTCTCGGCTACTTTCCGCAGCTGGTTTTGGCCTTCTTTAACCCACTTGGCATTGTTGCCAGTGGACTCCTGGTCGCACCAGTGGCTGCTGTCGTTCAGCTTGTTCTTCAGCTCTTCATCTTGTTTTTGTTTATTTACAACATATGGCATGTCTTCATCATCATGGCCACCCATGTTAACTTTCCATGTATCGGGCTGATGGAGGAAGAGGTTGAGATGTTACGTTATTAGCATCACCGTTAGCATGCTAGCTAGCAGGCTAGCGTTACAAAATTGTGAGATTCAGGCAGAGTTTTTCATCAGAGTTGGAGGAAATGAACTGTGGCTGCTTCATACAAATACACCCAGAAGCGCTAACCATGTAATAATCGCTAAAATATACTAGTTACATAAGCTGCAAAGCAACTAGCTAGCAACATTTTAAGATGGACACTGAAGTTTGTTTCCTGTTCGTCTATTCCGGTTTGGGTATTACTGCGGTTTTTTTCACTGTTGGATTTTACCAACGAATATGAAACGTACTTCAGCTGCATCACCGTCCATTTGCCAACACGACCTTTTATGTTTTAGTATTGAGATCGATATAAAGACGGGCAGAAGTTCAGAGCATCATTTTTGATTCAGTCAACACATTTTCAACTAATATCCACTTCTAAAATCACACTGCGTACTGAAATACATCGATATTAATCGGATGCCATCGCTGCAGCTGGATATAACGGGATCCATCCGCCATCATCACCGTCATCTTAGCTAGGCTAACGTTAGCTCCTCAGCTAGCTTGCTAACGTTTCCAAACAAGAAAATCAAAGCGAAGCGAAATGGCAGTGATTTATGAAGCTTCTAATAATAATTTTCACTTACCAGCTCCAACAAACCCCCTGTTGTCGAAATACGGTGTACGGTGCGAGCTAACTACATATTTCCATAAATCGTGAGGGCTCGCTTCGTTTCTAGGTGGTTTTCTGTCAGTGGGCTCGACTGGTGATGGAGGGCGAACCTGCGTCACGGAGCAACGTCACGGCCTGGGCTCAGAGAGAGAGAGAGCTGCCACCAAGGGACAGAGCCGGAGGGAGCTCAGTGAAATAAGATGGACCTTTTCCGTTTTTGAAGACATATTGATCCGGTGCCGCATCATCTGTGAAGCATAATGAATAGCTTCCGTGCCAACGGCAGTATTTAAGATGCCTGATAGTTGCAGTGGTGGAGATTACAGACCCAGGCACTGTGCTTGAGTACAACTTTAAGGTACTTGTAGCCTACTTTACTTGATGGTACATTTGATGGTACATTATACTTCTGCTCCATTTCAGAATAAAATAATGTACTTTTTATTTCATTACACTGTTTGACATCTTAAATTACTAGTTACCTTACAGATCACTGACACAAAATATAAATAAGCTAATATATTTTATTAAACGTTATGGTACCCAGCAAGTAATTTAAATAAGTCCCACCTTTACCACAGCACCTTTAAAATGATGTATATATAAATGCATCAATAATTATAATCTAGAACACAATATACATTATTCTGAAACGGACCATTTTGCATGATGATTTCTTTTACTTTTGGTATGTCAGTTAAAGTTGATGTTAATACTTTTTTTTACTTCAGTAAGGTTTTAGATGCAGGACTTGTGAGAGTTTATTTCTGCACTGCGGTATTACTGTTTAAGTAAAAGATCCAAGTACTTCTTCCACTACTGCATTAAATGGCAGTGTGTTCATGAGGTGTAATCAATCATTTATTATGGGTTTATGGATCAGGAATAGATCAATACTTTAATACATTTAGGTTGACGCATCATTCGTGTTCATGCTTTTCTGGTGGTACACTTATTTTGTTTAAGCCATGGTGGTGTCAGCTTTATGAAATCATTAGACAACTCCACTGAACCATTTGACCTCTGACCTTCTGGAGAACAGCTGCAGGACATCTGAACCAGAATCCCTTCAACTATTCATTCACATTCAAAATGAAATATTTGGTGCATTCTGGAAAAGCTTTTACTACACTGACTAACTTGAGGTTTATTACCCTTAAATGACAAATTACAACGCACAATGACTCACAGACTTTGGCTTATTTAACAACTCTATTGAAATGTATAAGAATTAATGGCTTATTTGAAAGTAATAAATTGTTAGTGACTCACTAGCTGTGGAGGTTTTTTACTACCTGGCAGCCTACAAGTTGTTCTTAACAATGGCTTACAACAGATCCATAAAACATTATTAAATGATATATTAAATATTCAAATCTTAGTATTTATTCATCAGATTACTTACATACTTGATCATCATTAGGACATAAGGCCACAATGAGCTCCTTAAGTAATATTATCATCGTAAATTCATGTTATTTATGCCTTTTCTGATGTCCATTTGACAGTTATAAGACTCAACCCTAAAAAATGATCACAAAAGCACTATCCCACCTTAAGTTACATATCAGTTGGTAAATATCATCGGTCTGATATTGATGTTGCTTTTTAATGCCGATGCAAATTACTTTACACATTACACATTCATGTTGCCCATATTTTTCCTTTTTAATATACTTATATATAAATACATACATTTGTATAAGTCATTCTTAATTTTGGCTTCAACCTGTGATTCGAGCAAGCTGGTGGAGGCACAGAGACGATGCAGGTAGAAGAAACAACCCATGAGACTGATTCAAAGTCAGAAGTAATCTAGTAATCTCAAGTGAAAAAACAATATGACAGTTTGCAGGATGTTAACACCAACCCTTAATGTCTCAGTCACCTTCTGTTGGCGGCTGCTTCTGATGTAGCCATGAAATTGGGAGAAAAGGCAGGCCCCATGCTTGACAAAACAAACTATAACTGTACCTGTGATTCCCATGAATAAATTACAGGCTCGGCTGACGCATTCATTCCTGACACTACATCGAAAAGAAGGTATTATGTGTTGGATTACATAGATTGCCAGTATTCAACATGAGCGTGAAACGCTTTTAGACATCTTGAAAAAGAGACCGACTTTTGTTGAATAGTACAGCTAATAAATGGGAAAGGAAATTAATGAAAATAAACTAGATTACAGTAATACATTACATTATTGTAATACAGATGAGAAAATAAGCAATCTCGCAATGCATTTTGAAAGTAATCTTCCCAAAATCTCAATGATCAAATGCCATTTTTGCTGCACTGAAAAATAAAGTTTGTATGACCGGTTTTACATCACTCTCAGTAGGTTGTACAGGATACAAATCAATGCTCAAGGCAGGTCAAGCTCTACACATCACTACACAGCCAAGCTGAATGGTACAACACTGCTAAGTACTCTCATGGCCGCCACTCATTCATATACATTTTCTTACATGTTGTTTAAATGCTTGGTTTCAGACATGTCATGCTTGCCCAGTTGCATACAGTTTGCTGCTAACATTAGCTTTTCCCCACAAGACAAGCTCGAGTTAATATGTCGTTTGTTTTATTACGAGCCACCATTTACAGAGGAACAGTTTCCTTACAGGGTGACTTTTTAATAGTGAGCCCACTCCAGATAAGAAAAATAAGGCCTTAAATCCACTGAAGCAATGTGGCAGACTGTCATGCTGACCTCCACAGGTTATTCAGTCTACAGGATTGAAGAAGATTGTACTCAGTCCACATGATTACAGTTTAGAAAATGAACAGTCAATATTAAGCTCCTGCAAAGACAGCAACGGCGGACAAAGATGGAGACACTAATAAAAACTTAATAGCACTTTGCAAAAAAAACAACAACATAATAGAAGTGACTGCTGCTGAATCATCTCAGAAGCAGAAGCTACAGTGGCGTTGAATGCAGCGGTAGAGTGAGAGTTTAAGGCAATACTGGTAAGCACCACACCACCATATCAGAGTGATATTTGGGGTAAGATGTCCCCCAATTCAACAGTCCAGCACAGAAGGGCAGAGGGGGTTTATCACTTGTCCTGCATTTTTTCCAGAATTGGCACAATCATGTCAAATTTAGGCCTCTTTGCCGGGTCTTCGTTCATGCATATCTTCATGAGCTTGCAAATGTGGGGTGAGATTCCAGGGGGGATGGTGGGCCTCAAACCCTCCAAGGCAACCTGAGAGCCAAAACAGACATATACGTTTGTTACAGTAGAGAAGATATTCTTGAGTGCATTAAAAGCCAGAGTAATAATTTATTTTGCCTGCAAGCAGTTGCTACCCAGCCGCTAATGGAATGAGCGAAAGATAGCTCTGCTGACCTTCATGCCAATTTCCATGTTGGAGAGGTCGGCATACGGCACTTCTCTGGTCACTAACTCCCACAGCAGAATAGCAAAGCTCCACATGTCTGCTGACCGACGGTTGATCTCCTCTGGCTTCTTCTGCAGGGCTGGAGATCACAGAGGGCGACAAGTGAAGGTTATGCAGAGCAAATACACTGAAGCGTTGTGGTGTGTGAACCCACACAACAGACACTGCCTCCCTCTGCCTTCTGCAAAAAGCACTTCTATTCAAGTACAGCCGAGCACACATTTGTGACTACTAGGTTAAAATGGAGAATTTCTATATGAATGTGATTTATTACCTAAATGTATTTAACACTACTGAATGAAAAGCTGGAAGTAGTTTTTTGTAGATAGGCTGCAGTGCAAACATTATCTGAAATGAAATTGCATTCACTTACGCAGTTAGGCTATGTGTGAGGTCAAATATCCATCCATTAACTGATGACCAGGAAACTGTGGGACCATAACCATAAGCCACATACAGTACAGGCCAAAAGTTTGGACACACCTTCTCATTCAATGCGTTTTCTTTATTTTCATGACTATTTACATTGTAGATTCTCACTGAAGGAATCAAAACTATGAATGAACACATGTGGAATTATGTACTTAACAAAAAAAGGTGAAATAACTGAAAACATGTTTTATATTCTAGTTTCTTCAAAATAGCCACCCTTTGCTCTGATTACTGCTTTGCACACTCTTGGCATTCTCTCCATGAGCTTCAAGAGGTAGTCACCTGAAATGGTTTCCACTTCACAGGTGTGCCTTATCAGGGTTAATTAGTGGAATTTCTTGCTTTATCAATGGGGTTGGGACCATCAGTTGTGTTGTGCAGAAGTCAGGTTAATACACAGCAGACAGCCCTATTGGACAACTGTTAAAATTCATATTATGGCAAGAACCAATCAGCTAACTAAAGAAAAACGAGTGGCCATCATTACTTTAAGAAATGAAGGTCAGTCAGTCCGGAAAACTGCAAAAACTTTAAATGTGTCCCCAAGTGGAGTCGCAAAAACCATCAAGCGCTACAACGAAACTGGCACACATGAGGACCGACCCAGGAAAGTAAGACCAAGAGTCACCTCTGCTTCTGAGGATAAGTTCATCCGAGTCACCAGCCTCAGAAATCGCAAGTTAACAGCAGCTCAGATCAGAGACCAGATGAATGCCACACAGAGTTCTAGCAGCAGACCCATCTCTAGAACAACTGTTAAGAGGAGACTGCGAATCAGGCCTTCATGGTCAAATAGCTGCTAGGAAACCACTGCTAAGGAGAGGCAACAAGCAGAAGAGATCTGTTTGGGCCAAGAAACACAAGGAATGGACATTAGACCAATGGAAATCTGTGCTTTGGTCAGATGAGTCCAAATTTGAGATCTTTGGTTCCAACCGCCGTGTCTTTGTGAGACGCAGAAAAGGTGAACGGATGGATTCCACATGCCTGGTTCCCACTGTGAAGCATGGAGGAGGAGGTGTGATGGTGTGGGGGTGTTTTGCTGGTGACACTGTTGGGGATTTATTCAAAATTGAAGGCACACTGAACCAGCATGGCTACCACAGCATCCTGCAGCGACATGCCATCCCATCCGGTTTGCGTTTAGTTGGACCATCATTTATTTTTCAACAGGACAATGACCCCAAACACACCTCCAGGCTGTGTAAGGGCTATTTGACCAAGACGGAGAGTGATGGAGAGCTGCGGCAGATGACCTGGCCTCCACAGTCACCGGACCTGAACCCAATCGAGATGGTTTGGGGTGAGCTGGACCGCAGAGTGAAGGCAAAGGGGCCAACAAGTGCTAAACACCTCTGGGAACTCCTTCAAGACTGTTGGAAAACCATTTCAGGTGACTACCTCTTGAAGCTCATAGAGAGAATGCCAAGAGTGTGCAAAGCAGTAATCAGAGCAAAGGGTGGCTATTTTGAAGAAACTAGAATATAAAACATGTTTTCAGTTATTTCACCTTTTTTTGTTAAGTACATAACTCCACATGTGTTCATTCATAGTTTTGATGCCTTCAGTGAGAATCTACAATGTAAATAGTCATGAAAATAAAGAAAACGCATTGAATGAGAAGGTGTGTCCAAACTTTTGGCCTGTACTGTACACACATTTGTGCTGTGTCTTTACAATTCACAACACTGACTTCAGTAATCATCCATTCTCTGTGAGTGGTCATCATAAAGTGTTAAAGAAAATGCCTTTACATTCACTGTGGTAAACTAATCTAAGAAGTGCTTGATAACCACACTGCCCACAGTAGTAGGATAAAGTTATGGAAACAGAATGTAACAGAGTGGGATAAAGTGAAGGACTTAACTTTGATATGCAGGCAACAGAAAAATATGGACGAAAGAAATAAAAAAATGTCAAAAGTGAGAAATCACAGTGAAAGAGGATAAATGGTAATAGCCTGGTCAATAAAGGTGTAACAATCCATCAGTTTTGATTGATGTATCTATTTGATGATCAACGACCCAATATAATTGATGAAAAGTTAAAGCATTGATTCATATCATCATTTTTAGGGTACACCGCATAACAAAACCAGGCAGATAACGGCAAGCAGCCAAGAAAAAGACAGACAAGATAACGTTATTTACTCAGGAGCAAATCAGCGGTGTGGAAATATTTTGGATTTCAGAGTAAATACAGGTTAAAAGACAAAGCACATGCCATGTTAACAATACCGATATGAGATAAGATACTCATGAAACATGATGTATCTGCCTTAGCTGCTCTGTTTCAACAATGTTCAGCTGAAAAAAAATGTGCACGCAGGCTGAAATTCATCTGAGCTGTTGTGTTGGGAAACAGAGTGACAGCCCAACGGTGAGTAAGAAAAAGTATGAATAATACGTGTAATTTGTTAAGTTATAATGTTATAGTTATAATATGTTATAATATTGCATCATGATAAAACTAGTGATTTACACCCCAACTGGTCATATACATCTTTTCTTTTTATTCAAATATTCAAATTTTACTTTATCAATTAATTAATTTTAAGTTCTTTCTGAAGATAAGACCTATTAAAATTCTTCATCTTAGCTAAATATTTACATTTTTGCCACCTTAATAGCGATTCTCTCTGTGCTCTCAATTTAATGTCTCACTGCCCATTACATGTAGACTGTATGGAGGTTGTTTCTATAGTAACCGGTCTCCTGTACCCCATACAAACACCACCATCATGCTCCATACACTGTTCTGTCAATGTAACGCTTTTCTGTGAACTGCTGCTACTGTCTGTCACTGCTGCAGATGTTCCCTGGTTATTTTCACACAGTGTGATCAGTTTATGTTTTGATTTCACTGCATCTCAAGGGGACATCAGCTGTGGATTACATTTAGTTCTGAGACAGTCTAGAGTTCCCTGCATCCATCATTCACGCTCGAGCTGCTGTGGTTTCAGCTGTCACTTTGGATCCGTGCTTTATGAGTGATGCCTACCCTCAGGGGCTACCCATGCCGGTGAGTACATCCTGCCAGGACACTGGAAGGAGAACTTGACATCTGCCATGCTGATCCTGGCTGTCATGTCTTCATCTATCTGTGGAAACAAGAAGCGCCGACTGAGATGTCACTTTAAAGTTGAACAGATGACACTTACTTCTCTGCTGTTTTCTGTTTTTTTTTTTTTTTTTCAGGCAACACAGTTTCCTGTGACAAGTCAGTTCATTATCCTGAAAGTTATGCTGAAACCACAGAGTCCTCTCACCATAACGCTCTTGCTGTTGAGATAGTGGCGAGGGATCATGGGTTCAAGTGTGTGCAAGAAAGCCATTCCACAAGCAATGTCCAGCGCAAACTTCACCGCCTGCGTCTGGTCCACCACAAAGTCTGACAGCAGAATGAGTGACAAATCACAACAGGTTTCAGCCCCTCTTACTTTCACCACATATGAGGATGGTGGTACAATGGCTACTGTACAAAGAACGATGGCAACATAATGAGAAATGTGAAAGTGTCATAAATCACAAATCGTTGCAAACCACTAAAAATGGTGACAAGAACGGACTGTGTAACCAGAGTAGAAGTACTCACTGGTGCCTTCATGCAGCACATTGTAGAGAGAGCCATAAGGCATCCAGTGTGTGATGATGATGGGGTGAGGGGCGGGAGGAGACTGACATGCTCCCAACATGGGTAGGACATTCGGATGGGAAAATATCCTGGGATGGAGCCCAAGAGGGAGGGACAGGGGAGACAGACAGACAGACAGACAGACAGACAGACAGAAATAGGCAAACCCACAGAGGATTTGTCATTAACAGATGCCTTGTGTGAGACGCAACACTTCCAAAAAGAAATAATACAAATAATCTGGTTCAGTGCAAACAGACAAATGAGTGACGACAACTGCACAGAACACAGAGGCAGTAGAAAAGTCAGGATTAAATAATAACCTGAGTTTGGGATATTCCTCATTGAAGTCTCGGCTTTTCCTTGTGGTCCAGTCACGAACTTTTAGCACCTTAACAACAATCTCATTCCCCTGCCAGCGACCTTGCCACAGCTAAAAACAAGAATTAGACAGAAAAACAGACACGAATGGCATGTTTTGTGTAAACGATAATCAGCAATTCTGCATGACCATTCAGTGTGATAAAAATAAGATCAGAGGTACCTCTCCAGACTGGTTCTCATTTATTTTAGCCAGGAGAGCGAGCTGTTTGTAGTCAATGCCTGCATGTTTGTTCAAAGTGCCATTGCCTAAAAACACAAGATGGAGTTCAGACAAAAGCCCCACTATTCATGTCAAATTTAGCACAACACCATACAGACGAAAAGGCAGTGGAAATTTCAAACACCACATCAGGACTGGTTGGGACGCCAGCTAGGAACATTTTTTCTCTTTCATGCAGCACTCTGACCAAACCGACTGATGGAAACTGGTCAGCAAATAAACTGTTTCATGTGTGTGTGGGACTCACGGGGTCGAGTTCTGGTAGTGCCTTTCCAGAACGTGTCCTTGAAGGGAATTTTAGTCAAGCTCTGTCCCATTTTCTCAGCCTTTTCTGTGTGTCAAAGGTATAGTTTAAGATGAGAAAACTGAACACAAAGGCAATTAAGTATGAGGTAAGTGGTAATGAGGAGTCAGGATACCTTTGAGGAGTTCCCGCAAGTGAGGTTTGGCTTTGTCCAGAGGGGTTTCCCCATATTTGTTACAGATGCTCACCTGAGCCCCATTAGTCACGAGGTCCTGAGTTAAAGGACAGATTGGTGTCAGCCACATTTTAATAGAATTACACATGAATACAGATAAGTCTCAGCTTTACTACCACCAGGGGGCGCACTAACCTCAGCCACTTGATCTTGGCCCCAGAAGCAGGCATAATGCAGTGGTGTGTTTCCATGTTCATTGGCTGCATTTGTGTCTGCCTTGCACTGGATCAGCTGAAAGAGGAGCAGAAACAAAGGGTTATATGCAAAACAAGGCTGGTCAGATCTTGTTTGGGCTGTATACAGGGCTTAGTGTTCATGCTGCCAACAAAAATCATGGAAGTTCGTCTTGCCTGTGGACACATACCAGAGGTATTGAGACATGCCTAACATTAAACTCAATAGCTGCCTGGCAGCAATTCTAAATCAGACACCCTGGAGCAGAGGCCTCACATTATGGCATATGGTACACTAAGATACAAGACATCCTTGCATTCTTTCAGAAACTAAAATGTAATGTCTTTAAGCAAACACAATAGTCTAACAGGTCACTTTGTGTTCCTCTATTTTACCCACCAGGTGCTGCTGTTTTAAAAACATGTATAATATGTGAGCTCCACATACCGGACTGCAAGTTGCATCCCAAGAGCAAACCAGTGGGTTACAAAGCCTTAAAACAGGACATAGATTGTACCCATGTGATGTGCCTTAAAAGGACTCCTGCAGCAGAGTTTTTATGCTGCGTAGGAGCTTGTGCATGCACACACTACAAGCCAGTGGATCCCTGTATTGCTGGTTGAATTATAGCTACTGATTGTGCACAAATTGTGCTTTTAAATGGTCAATTAACTGCAAATTAAAAAAAGTCCATTTGTCATTAAGTCAGCCTGCAGCTGATGTATTAATCCTCTTGTCCATCCCTTTTAAGAAATATTTAAAATGTGCAAGCATTGAATAACTGAAAGATTAATTAATCAGTTTAGAGGTAAATAACTACTTTCACACCACAAATTTCTTGTTCTATCCTTCACACGTGTTATAAGCAGGTTTAATAATCATACTTGCAGCCACTGAAACATTAAGTTTTCCCTCAACACTGACTACCTTCAGTTGCAAGAACAGACAAGACCTTCTGTCTATAATTGCTATTCATATGTCATCATTTTAGGTTTCATAATATCCTGTGTTCATGAAGCAATAGATTTTAACACCTGTGTGCTTAGAAGAGATTAGTGTCCGTTTCACAGCTTGGGCTTTACTCTGACAAATAGACCAAAGAGAGAGACTAGGTTGTGTTATAATGTTATGGAGGTAATTCATATTCTGACAATCATCAGAAACAATATTACAGTGGGGTTACAGGATGACTAAGAAACCAGGAAGGAACCTTTTCAAGCATCACTGTGTGCTCGCCCCAGTGTTTACATGCAACCTACCTTTCCCACGATTTCGCGATGTCCATGGCTGGAAGCCAGGTGCAGAGGCGTGTCGTCCCCGCGATTCATGACGTTGATGCGAGCCCCTCTCATGATGAGCATGTCCACCACGCTGGAGCGGCCCTCCCTGCATGCCCAGTGGAGAGGGCTGAAGCCATGGTCGTCTCTACAGCGAGAGAGGAAAATTCATGTTGACTTAATGTTTCACAAAAGCCTTTAGCACAGCAAAGGACTTAGCAACTTTTCCAGCCTGTCCTGCAGTTACTCTAAATATGACTTTAGGGAGAAAAAAGTATCCAAAAAAAGTTACCCCCCCACCCCCCCCCGCGCAAACGACTCTGTGGCACATCTGGCACAAGGCCAACCTTAACAGACTGGGACTGTGTTTTAGCATGTGCGTTTTGCTATGACAATGAAAATAACACATTTCAAAAAAGGACAAGTGTGCACTCCAAACTGGGTGGTCAAAATTACAAATATGTACAAGTTCCATTAGCTGCTTTGCTACAGCCTACTGCTTATAGCATTGATGCACGGGTCCACCCACAACCTGCAGGTCCCACAGGTTGACCCGCTGTTGGGGCAGTTTGGGTAAGCTTGTTAGAAAATATTTTGGGTTTCAGGTGATAAAGCAGCATCCTGAGTAAGTTTTTAATAACTTAAAGAAACATTGTACAATAGTCCATCTTCCACCTTTCCTTACCCTTTCCCTGTACCTCTCTCCTTCTCTGTCTCGGTCTGTCTCTCATAAACACACACAGCAAGCAGCTTTATCATCCACACTGCTGCCCTCAGGGTTTCCATTACCTGATTTTTGACCAAGAACACTTGTTGGAAGTCTGATATATCTAAATCTCTCCATCAATAATGTTATGTAAAAAGATTTCACTCTGAGAATACATAGGCCTCATACCATGTCCTAACAGCAAGCAAGCGTCTCTGTCCACACTGAATCCACCAAATATGCACTTCAGTTATGTCACGTAAACAAAACACTATCAATTAGCTGTTCATTCATGTAAACACATAACAAGTCATGTAGGATATCAGCTGTGCATTTGAGGGAGACGTAACCACTTAAAAAATGTAGATGTAGAAGTACTTGCCATCTTCCAACGTTCACACTTTTTAAACAGAAAAAACATGTTTTATATCGTGACAAAATGAAATGATGAAAATAGTTAACAGAAAGTAAGTTGTTATTGGCAATATTATCAGAAACTTTCAGCTGTCACTGATAAATGCATGTTCCTGGGTCAAACACTCACCCTGCATTAGGTGTACCCACTGAACTGCCAACAAATATAAGAGTCCTGCAATAAATCCTACTTTCATTAGGTCCCCATCCAAATTATATCTAAAGGGGTAGACTAAATATTAGAAACACCTCTAAAAATAACACAGTTTACCAGCAGTGCAAAATACAGCCACCATCATTAAGTTGAATTAGCACCTCTCTATAACAGTTTCAACACAAACTGAATGTTATAATTTTCATAAAGCTATAATTTACTGCAGGATTGCTATATTAGACTGTATTTTTTAAGCTACTAATAAACTGGCAAATGTGTGTATTTATCTGAAACTATGAATTTTCAGAACGCCTAATGAAGAGTTTGTTCATTTGTACTTCTGTCATCTTCCTCAGAAAAGGGAAGTTAACACAACTCAGGCTGAGACAACACGTAACAGGCCTCTGCTGCTCATCATTTCTCTTTGTCTCCATGACACTGGCAGCAACACATGTAGGACAGTGGCCTCAATTACATGGCAGAGTGACTGATGGCATACTTCCTCAGAGAAAAAGAGATAAAGATTGAGAGATTAAGGCGCAGTAAGAGCTGAGTGACAGAGAGTCAATCAGGAAAAGACTAGAAAAAAACAAAACAGAACAGTAGGCCGAGCATTTGCTGCAGTCCTTATAAGGCCCAGTGAGACTTCCTCAGCAGTGCTGCACACGCATACACTCCAGCTGCTGTGTGTAATTGTGTCATTCTTCATTTTTCTGCTCTCTCCGCCTGGCTGTGGTCACCTCCTCCTCTATTAAAGAGTGTCCTCCCTCATGTGAGTCTTACAACCCCCTCGCCCTTTCGGTAAAATCCATACTCTCCCTCTCAGTTTCACTTAAACAGCTGGACAATACTGATGATGTATTCAACTTTCCATACACTTTACTTTTTTCATGTGGGCTTTACTATTTGTGCCAAAACACAGCACAGTCCCCCAGATAATAAAGTTATGCACTTGCTGAAGGCCAGCATGAAGTTATGAGTAGGCAGACAGCATAATAATGTGATCAGAGAACTAAGGGAGTATTATAAATCTGGAGGAATCTGAACCCTCTGCCCCCCCCTTCCTGCCATGAATTCGCTGGTTTGTATTCGCACATCCTGCAAAGCTCTGCTCAAAACAGCATCAAGAGCCCCACAGAGACCCTCAGTCCCACAACACACATCTATAGGTGCATCTGGGTGACCTGCTGCAGTCACACCAGATCTGCTCTATGTGCAATTTCCTCTCAGACCAAAAGGGCAAATCCTAAAAACTAATTAGCCTAAGTTTATGAGATAGAAACTCCCCACAGTCTCACTTCTGTGATTTTATTAGTTTTCTGTGCTAAGTCTGTTTAGGTTGTAGAGTTTTTTAAGTTAATGGCTGTGTTCTTCTGAAGCACACATTCACAAAATTATCGGTTTGCTTATCTGTATGATCTTATATTCAGTATTTGCAAATAACTAAAGGTGAAAGGAGAAGCTGATTCATGGATTAAGGCCTGAACATACTCGGGCGGAGCGTACGCAGAACGGACTCCGTGGAGGTCCGCGTGGACTCAAAGCGGACGTCCGCAAGCCCTGTGCGCGCAAAGCTCAGATTTTACGATCGCGCGGACTCCGCTCTGCGCACCAGTGACTGCTCGGCATGTATTTTTCACATCGCGGGGATTTTTCACAGACATTTTAGTCAGTCAATTTGTGCAGGACCTCAGGACGGCTAGAAATACTTTCATGTGGTTCTAATGGGAATCCTTGAATTAAAAAACATGCATAAAATTACTCTGCAACTACTTTGACAGTTTATTAATATTGTTCATGTCTTTCTTTGTCATCTTTCTGGTTCCAGCTCCTCCAATGTGAGAATTCGATGCCTCTTTCTTTCATCTTTTAAATCTAACTAGTTATGGTGTTGGACAAAACAAGACAGTTAAAGTTGATTTTATTCACCCATAATCATTTATTATAAACAAAAAAAGGGCCCCAATCCACATACAGCTGCTAAAAATGTACTACTGACACATCAAGTGAGGCTCATGCCTCCTCTCTGTGTGTGGATTTCTATTCGGGGGACCTTTTTATAGGATAGATTTTCCCTTTAAGCTCGCTTCATCCCCACAACCCAAAGGCACTTGAGTGCCAGGGTTTTCTGCTGCTCACCCCCTCCACACTGGCTGCGGTAATTTATTTCAGGCACTTCCACCTGCCAACAGTGCTCAGTTTGGCAGACGGAAAAGACCGAGGAAGAGCCCCTGTCTGCACCCTGTATGTCTGTGCCTGGACATCCCTGCCAGGTCATGTAACAGGACTCAGACCAGGGAAAAGAGCATCCACGAAAACATCTAACAAATGAATGACTAACAATACTTGGACTGTGACACTGGAGAAATTTATAGTCTTTACTCAGTTATCTCATCACAAGTCAACAAATTACTTTATGCTCTGCACACAGATATAGACTACATCTGTCAGATGTTTATTGCCAGCTGGAACTAAACATAGCAGGTTTTATTTGACCTGAAGTGCATACTGTGACGACATCAGTGGGCATGACATTTTCTACAGATAAGAAAGAGACACAAGTGGAGGCATGTGGTGAGAAACCATCAGAAAAAAGAGCGTGCAGTGGTCTCATTGACAGTTAGTTCATGCTTGTGTTTTGATAACAAGAAATATCTGTTACAATAACAGAACAAAAGCTAAAAGGTAATCAATGTGACCCGCCATCTTGCTGCTACTGTTTACTTCCGTTTCGCATTGTGCAACATCCTTTGTTGATTATGTATCATTGATAACAATGGTTATATTCAAAACTGATGAAGTGGGCTGGTTTGCTCAATAGCGCCAAGGTTAAAGAATCCTGAATGGAACAAGTTCAAGAAGCAGAGCTAATGTGGTGAAAAACATACCCACTAATCTGTGTTAGCTAGGGCTTGGCGATGAATCAAATTATTTTTTCCATTATGATTTTGGCTACCAACGATTCCATTTAAAGTTCAAGGAAATCCACTGTTGAAAAGACAAGTCTTTTAAATACAGCAAGCTTAATAAAAGCATGATGTTTCTGAAGTCTGTGAGTAATCGTGTAAAATAATAGTCAGCTCAATACTGACCAAAATAAACGTGATGATGATTTTAGCTGTAATCAAGCAACCCTAGTGCTGGCTCACTCACAAAACTGCTATCACTGACACCATTACAACCTGCACGAACAAGCCTCTAGTCTACAGTCTGCATGCAACAGTACCCACTGCAGAGCAACAGGCTCACACTGCTAAAGAGGTTACAATCAGTATTCACAATGATATCCACCACCTTCCCAAAAAAGAAGCCTCAACATTAACAACAAGGTAAACTCCATAAAAATAAGTGCTGTCCAACTATCAGGAAAGTGTTATCCTCAAACCGCTATTCACACACGTACAGGGCCTCTTCTGGACGTACATATGAGGAGGCTAAATACAGATCACCATTAAAGCCACGATTACACACTCGTAGGCCAAAGAAATCACACGAGCACTTAAGTCAGTCCTCTGAGACTAAAAACAACACAAATGTGGCACTGAGGAATGGGTTGGGCACAGGACCTCATAACCCTTAAACCTGTAATAAACACTGTTTTCATACCACTAGGGCTGTAACAATCATTTTCAATATTGATTAACATGCCATCTTGTTTTGTTCCACAAAAGTTGAGAACAACATCACAATTTCTTAGAGCCAGAGATGATGTTTGCTTCGGGTGTCGTCTGACCAACAATATAAATCCAGAGATACTGTATTCAATTTATTCTAATGTAAGACAAAGAAAAGCAGCAGGTGCGCACATTTGAGAGGCCGGGACACAAGACTTCAGTGATTAATCAATTGTTAAAATAGAGTTAATGATTAATTTTCAACAAATGTAGACAGCTGAAATTATTAGTTGTTAAGCTGATTGTTAGAAAAGTCCCCAGCAACTATTTTCATAATCTATTATTTGACATTTTATAGTCAAAATTATTGACTTTGTGAGAAAATGACTAGCTTGTCCAGCCTAGACTAATCCATTGACTGACCTATTGTTTCAGCTCTACATATAACTTGAAATTAAAAACCACAAATTACCCTTCATGCTAATTTTCAACATAAAACTATAACTCGTACCAACATTATGCACCAACTAGCAAAGAGGTGGTGTAAAACATATTCAGAGAAGACCATAGAGGATGACTGTATTGTAAACAGTTAGGAGAATTTGTTTTAAACTTTGCAATTAACTCTTGTAAACTTGGAGGGAATGTTGAGGGGAAATGATAGCAGCTATCTAATACCACTGGGAGACGAATACCGGAAACACATAACTGGAGGAGGGGAAGGAGACGTGACCTGCTATAGCTTACTGTGAATGTCTCTTCTGAAAAATTCATTATTTGCCCCCCCCTCAACACACACACACACACACACACACACACACACACACACACACACACACGCACACAAACACACAAAGATCCTCTGTCTCGTCACACATAACTCTTCCAGTCCTGCCCCATTACATTAATCTCCTCCCCCTCTCTCTCAATTTTGGTAGGTGGTAGATGTTTCCCTCGGGCCTCCTTGTAAGGAGATTCAGCATTCCACTACTACTCTCTGTATGGGGGTTACATCAGTGTAAACACACTACCATCGAGGAGCACAGAAAATATTATAGTAAGGATCTGATAGGCTGAGATATAGTGGGTTTACTTAAATATAAGAGGGGAGGAATAAGTTCTGTAGGGAAATGAAAAGACAAGAATAAATGGGTTTCACCCACTGGGGGAGATATATCAACCGGAAAAGGGGACTTGACATGTAATCAGCTAATGGACGAGTCACATGTAGGGAGTGCATGGATCCACACTGGCTTGATGTAACCATACTGTTTTACAAAAGTGGGAGAATTGAATAAGAGTAACAGAAAAGCGGAGCAAACACAATCAGCACTGACATTAAAAGGGAGAACAAATCTCTTTTCATTCCTGCACAAATGGCTGAATTAAAAAGGAGGAAAAAAGCAAAAGTGCTTCAAGAAGACGTCTTGCATATTATTATAATTAAAAAACGTTGTTGTTTTTTTTTTTTTTTAAATTATATCAAAAGCTGTGAACAACTCTTATTAGCCCACCTATAAAATGCAACTGGAGACGTCTGATTGTCTCAGATGGCAACAGAACAATCCTATGTTTTCTTAGCTTGTCTTATCACATTATTAATAGATCAGACTAACTAGTTTACTTCCGGATGTTATCAGAGTCACACCTCTTAAACAGAACCATGTTTCATTTTGTTACCATTCTTACATGAGACATTAGACGGTCACACTACTAGTTGAACATTTTTACGTTCAACTTTGCAACAGCATTCAAAGAAAATGAAAAAAGCAGCCACTAGTTTCTCTGACACTTCTGAAACGTGTCCACTGCAGACAAATCTTCGTCAGTGTTATAAACAATCCAAGCAGATGTCAATGCGTTTGACCTTCTTATCATAAATGTACTAAAACAGTTAAAAAGACAAAGAGGAGAGCAGCTCCAACACAAACAGTCATTATAATTAAATAGATCTATTCAGTCTCTTTGTGTTTACTCTGAAAACAAATACCGGTAGTCTAAATCTGGGAGTCCAGAAGGGAAGCTTCACGGATGGTCATCACTACTTGACAGCAAGCTCGGCCAAGTTTCTCTTTACAGTGTCAGCTGAGGATACAGAAGCTGCTGAGGATGGACTAATGATCTGTAACTATCAGACTGATATTTGTATAATAAACATGTCAAATCTTATAGAGGCCTGCAGCATTCTGTGCATTCATGTCCAGTCTTTTTTTTAAAATTGCCATCAAGCCCAAAGTCAATTACAGCAAAAACTGCAAGCGTGACTAACTCGACCATCACAGTGGGTTTCCTGTCCGACATCATGCTTTTGAATTACTCCGCTGGCATTCTGGACATAAACATGTGCCCACAAGGAAATGAGTTCAATCGCAGGTCAGGCTCTCGCTAGGGACTGAAAAGGCGGGCTTTCAGTCTGCATCAGAAATTTGGTTTGAGAATGCAACATTTAAAGTAGACAAAAGACAGACAGTGTACCTGATATGTAACTGGGATTCTGGGTTACGTTATCTAGCATCACAGGCTCATGTTGTGGCAGGTCTCATGCAGATAAAGTATAAATGTCAAAATGATCATTGGCTGAAAAGTGAAGATACAAAATCTATCAGTGTCTGTTTAACTGTGAATTAACTTTATGATGATTCTTGAGCCTGTATAGATAAACAAATGATTATTTTTATATTTTTCCCGGACAAGCTAAATCAAATCTTTAACGACAACAAGAGCCTGTTAATTTTTAATCAGCATCGAGCCATCAACAGAAGTGATTTGTGATCTCTGGATACCATTAACATCCTACTGACAAAGAAACACACTCATAAATAAACTCTGGCTCACCCTTGATTGAGGTCATTCTCCGTATTGTCCAACCATAAGCGAACTGCCACTGCATTGCCTTCCCGGCACTGCGTGAAGATATCATCCATTTTGACTGGTGTATTCTCCTTCTCTTAAGGTGCACCCGTGATCGTAGATACAGAACTGAAGTGGGACAGAAGAGGGAGGCGACCCGAGGGGTTCAACAGGTTCCTGGCCAGCATCAGTCCCTCATCTGGGATAATGAGCGACACAGTCAGAGATACTAAACAGCACTCTGGCAACCCTGAAAAAAGGACACAATGAGGGAATTTGCTCTGTTAACACATCTTTTAATCAGTTTAATCTCTATTCCAGACAACTGTACAAACCTAAAACGAACAAAGCTCAACAACCAAGCTAGTGTTGAGTAATCTTATCCACCCATAAGAGTGGGTGGCTGTTCCCAACTGTGACTCACAACACTTGGTTGTGACTAGCACCCTGTACACCAGGGTAGATAAATATCTTTATCCAGTGCGGTGCTAAATCTTGTACTTCCTTAATACTTGAATTAGCACTTTTATTACTATTCATTTAATCAATTAGATGACTGACTGGAAATTAATCTGGTATTCTTTTGCTAATCAATCAAGTGTTTAGTCATTTATCAAGCAAAAAAGTCCAACACTACTTGATGCCAGCTTCCTACATCTGTGGATTCTCTGTCTTATGTGATACTAAACTGAGGATATTTGAGTTTCAGCTTTAGTAAAGTCTGATTTTAATAAACACAATAGATACAGAGAGAGAGACTTAAGTGTAAATAACATGCTTCCTCATATTTCGTACAGCCTAAACTATGATGAAAGTATGTGTAGGCTGAATAAATAACATAATTGCAGGTCATTACCGAAGACAACAGATTGTGGCAGGGATAACAAATGTGGCATGACACTGGCAAAGGACTGGGATCACAGTTTTTGACCTCTAATTATAATCAACACAAATGAAAAGACACACTTCATTCATGTTTGAATAAGCCAAGCACTCATATTAAAAATAGGTTGGTAGATGATAGTATAACTATAGCTGAAGCTCATCTTAATGTGCTGTCACTGCGCAGGTTGGCTTTGTTCATGTATATAACATAAACACTGCATCAACCTGATGCCACAGTAATGAGTTCACCGTTAGCAACCCACTGTCTGTACAGCACTGTGACTAGCTACACTGCTATCTCGCTAACACACAGGAAGAGCTCATTAAAGTTAGCTGGTTATCCCTTCAGCTCCTGTCGCCACCACCGTATACGTTTATTACACTCCATTAAACTGAAAGTGACTGGGTTAGCTCCAACGTTAGCTAGCATCCTCTGGCTGACAAAATGAGACACAGGCTAACAAGCTAACCAACTGCCCTGACGCCGCGGACTGTCTCCGTCTCTCTCATTTGACGCTGACTTGACTGAAGTGAACATGAAACAATATAAGTTGGTGGTTTGAACAATCCAAATCGATGTTAAATATGTCTCCAATATGATAAACTTACCGGGTACAGTCGCCTGTTGCGGTGAATAGAAGTTATTAGCAGCGTTGTGTGTTGTGTCCAGTAGATTGAATGCTGTGGGACATCCACACCCTCACTGCCGCCGTACGTACGTGGTAACGTTCGACGAAAGGAAGAGAACGCCCCACCCCCTACAGGCTGCACAGGGAACTGCAGGAGGGCAAAATATTCACAGCCTCAGGTCACAGATTTTTATTGTACTTTATAAGAGGCATCAACAAAGTTACAGTGTGTGCAGTGACGGAGGAACATATTTTGTTTATGTAAACGTAGCAATACTACAGTTTAGAAATACTCTGTGACTCAGTAAAAGTCTTGCATTTAAACTACAATTGTTTAAGTACTCTTTATGCAGAGTGGCCCATTTAATAATGTGTAGGGCTTAACATATATTTTTGTTATTATGATGATGCATTATATTAATAATTTGACTGTTGTAGCTGGTAAAGGTGTGGCTTAATATCTGCTGAATTTCTCATGGGTGATCAATAAAGTCTTGTCTTCATTCATTTTAATGCATCCAAGTATTCATAGGTATCAAATAGCTGTAGTGGAGTAAAAAGTACAATATCGTGGGGTAGAATTAAAAGGTATCTGGCATAAAATGGAAAGTACCTCAGTATTGTACTTAAGTAAAGTATTTGAGTAAATGTGCTTAGTTACTTTCCACCACTGGTCATGTGCATGTCCTAAAGGGAAAATCCACCCTAAAACACAACACATTTTATATTGTATCATGGTAGTCATATGATTAGCCCTGTGAAGTGTGAAGTGAATATGTACAAACATAAAAAAAAATTGTCTCCCTATAGGCTGGAAATGTTTTTTCCCCTCCAAATCTCTAGTTTTAAATCTAGCTTTAGTTGTAGCCAAGGTTAAAAAGTTGACCTTACATAAAACAGAAAAAAAAATCAGAAAACACTGAATATGTGTGAGTTTATCAAACCGCTTGTGCAGTAAAAGATCTAAGTATGTTTATATAAAACAAGGTATATAACACATACTGTACATACATACAGTATGTTTGTTTTGATCGCATTCTGGAGGATTGTTGGAAAAATTATGTATTTTAAAATTACTTATTACTTACTAAGTTATTTATAATACTGTTATTGGAATAATGACAATATGTGGTTTTGTTGGTAGATTTATTTACTATTTATTATTGTTTGTTATTCTTCAGTTCTTGAGAATATACAATTATTTTATAATTTATTATATATTATAATTATTATATTCAAATAGTTAAATTTTATACTCTACAAAGTCTGAAAAACAACAGAAAATTTAAATCAATCTATATTTGTGGTGTATAACAACATTATCACAAAAACATCAGGTCCCATAAACCTTTGCGTTGCTTACGTCATCCATATGCGCCTGTAGTTCTGTTTTGCTTCCCTGAAGCACATGAGACAAACCAACGTGGCTTTTGCATTTGACAAGAAATTTCAGCAGCTATTAAATGTAGTTACATGTTTGTTACAGGAAACATTTTATAAAAACACCTTCATTAACGGAACAAACCGTTTGACAAGTAAACCAACTTGTTATTCCGCTGCAGAGACAAACTGGTGAGTAACCGAGTTAGCAGTTAGCGCGCTGATAGAGAAGAAGTGACACTGGCAGAGGTTTTCTCATCTCCAGCAGGTTTACAGTTGTTTGTGTGTTTCTTCCAGACCTCCGGGAAACATGTTTAATGAAGATGAAGATTGGAGTGACGAACCAGACGCTCAGGTCCTGAGCAAGACTGTCCTTAGAAACACCCAGAAGGCGAACAGCAGCACTAATGTCAAGGTACATGAAGAGTCAGTTTAGTTACCTGCTGCTAGCAAGTTGTATTGATATCAAGGCTTACCAGTATTTCCATATAATGTGCAATGTTATATGGATTTATTTAGTGTCCTGAGCTTGTTGTGTTCTCTTAATGATCCTTGTTCTGGGTGACCAAAAAACCCAAACATGTAGTGTACATGCACATACAGTACAGGCCAAAAGTTTGGACACACCTTCTCATTCAATGCGTTTTCTTTATTTTCATGACTATTTACATTGTAGATTCTCACTGAAGGCATCAAAACTATGAATGAACACATGTGGAGTTATGTACTTAACAAAAAAAGGTGAAATAACTGAAAACATGTTTTATATTCTAGTTTCTTCAAAATAGCCACCCTTTGCTCTGATTACTGCTTTGCACACTCTTGGCATTCTCTCCATGAGCTTCAAGAGGTAGTCACCTGAAATGGTTTCCACTTCACAGGTGTGCCTTATCAGGGTTAATTAGTGGAATTTCTTGCTTTATCAATGGGGTTGGGACCATCAGTTGTGTTGTGCAGAAGTCAGGTTAATACACAGCCGACAGCCCTATTGGACAACTGTTAAAATTCATATTATGGCAAGAACCAATCAGCTAACTAAAGAAAAACGAGTGGCCGTCATTACTTTAAGAAATGAAGGTCAGTCAGTCCAGAAAATTGCAAAAACTTTAAATGTGTCCCCAAGTGGAGTCGCAAAAACCATCAAGCGCTACAACGAAACTGACACACATGAGGACCGACCCAGGAAAGGAAGACCAAGAGTCACCTCTGCTTCTGAGAATAAGTTCATCTGAGTCACCAGCCTCAGAAATCGCAAGTTAACAGCAGCTCAGATCAGAGACCAGATGAATGCCACACAGAGTTCTAGCAGCAGACCCATCTCTAGAACAACTGTTAAGAGGAGACTGCGCGAATCAGGCCTTCATGGTCAAATAGCTGCTAGGAAACCACTGCTAAGGAGAGGCAACAAGCAGAAGAGATTTGTTTGGGCCAAGAAACACAAGGAATGGACATTAGACCAGTGGAAATCTGCGCTTTGGTCTGATGAGTCCAAATTTGAGATCTTTGGTTCCAACCACCGTGTCTTTGTGAGACGCAGAAAAGGTGAACGGATGGATTCCACATGCCTGGTTCCCACTGTGAAGCATGGAGGAGGAGGTGTGATGGTGTGGGGGTGTTTTGCTGGTGACACTGTTGGGGATTTATTCAAAATTGAAGGCACACTGAACCAGCATGGCTACCACAGCATCCTGCAGCGACATGCCATCCCATCCGGTTTGCGTTTAGTTGGACCATCATTTATTTTTCAACAGGACAATGACCCCAAACACACCTCCAGGCTGTGTAAGCGCTATTTGACCAAGAAGGAGAGTGATGGAGTGCTGCGGCAGATGACCTGGCCTCCACAGTCACCGGACCTGAACCCAATCGAGATGGTTTGGGGTGAGCTGGACCGCAGAGTGAAGGCAAAGGGGCCAACAAGTGCTAAACACCTCTGGGAACTCCTTCAAGACTGTTGGAAAACCATTTCAGGTGACTACCTCTTGAAGCTCATGGAGAGAATGCCAAGAGTGTGCAAAGCAGTAATCAGAGCAAAGGGTGGCTATTTTGAAGAAACTAGAATATAAAACATGTTTTCAGTTATTTCACCTTTTTTTGTTAAGTACATAACTCCACATGTGTTCATTCATAGTTTTGATGCCTTCAGTAAGAATCTACAATGTAAATAGTCATGAAAATAAAGAAAACGCATTGAATGAGAAGGTGTGTCCAAACTTTTGGCCTGTACTGTATATGTACACATGCATGAAAGATAACACATAGGAAGCTACAGCTCGTTTTCTGAACAAATTCTGCAACATAACAACAAAAAAATCAAACTTTCTACTTCCCTTATAAAAAAAGACAGAATCTAAAAATACTAAAAATTCAGAAATGCAGTTTGTAGCACAGGAAGCTATTAAAAATGTGATTTTCCACTGTTACACACTGTCTTAATAACATCCTCTGCCTATCTTCAGTGATCCAGTATCCACTGACCAGCCCAACATTAGGCTGCACACTTTGGTTGAAAGACTTGTATCTGAATTTATCCCCTGCTCAGGCCAAGGCTGTTGGAAAGAAGAGCCTGCTGCGCACCCTGCAGACACTGGGGTCAGTACCAGAGTGGAAGAACGACGACCATCAGCAGGACAGTAACAGTGAGGCAGAAGCGGCTCCATCACACAGTAAGAAAAAGAAGAAAAGAAGGAAAAGGCGAAAGCAAGCAGAAACGACAGGAGAGCAGCAGGAGAATGACGACTTAGGTCAGACTGATATCAAGGAGAAACCTGTGACAAAGAAGAGGAAGAAAGACAATAAATTTGGTGAGTAATGACCTGGTTAAAGGCTTACATGTCATTTCATTTACATTTTAGAGTGCTGATGACAGAACAGTGTTGATGTTCACACAATTTGATTATAATATAACATCAAAATGTATTTCTTCCTAAAGGGGCCTCAAAGGTAAAAAACACATCAGTAGTCGAGACAAAGCATGAAGAAATGACCAAATCTGCAACAGTCAATGTAAACACACCACAGAACACAGAGAAACTGAGCAGACAACAATGGAAAAACAAAATGAAGAACAAGAGGAAATGTAAAAATAAATACAAACAGAATGATCCTGGCCCTGAGAAGGAAGTCAGTAAAGCAGAATCTGCAGAGCAACACAAGCCAAAGGAGGAAGTCAAAATAGATTCAAGTAGCAACAACAGCAACAATAACAGTCAGACACCAGCCAAGAAAAAGGAAAAAGATCGTAAAGCACAGAAAAGAAAAAAGACTGAAGAGGACACCGACATGACTGGTGCAGCGCTCAGAGAAGGAAAGCAGCACATTGGAGGCAAAGCTGAAAAAGTTGCAGCCAAATCTTCTGCTGATGAAGTGAAGATCACAGATGATCAGCACCACACACCCACTAAAACACCGAAACCAGACCTGAGCAGAGAACAGATTCTGAAAAGAGAGAAGCTACGGAAAATGCTCCACAGCCAGGAAACAGTCCAACAGGAGGTTCCTACGGAGACGAATGAGGAGCCAGCGGTACCAGAAGAAGAAGAGGTGAAACCGGATCGCTCGGCCTCCCTCAGGTCCCGCATGGAGCAGCGGCTGGAGTCGGCTCGTTTCCGCTACATTAATGAAGTTCTGTACAGCACGACCAGCGGGGAGGCGAAGCGCATGTTCAGACAGGACCCAGAGGCCTTTGGGATCTACCACAGAGGTTACACGGCGCAGGTGCAAAGATGGCCAACCAATCCAGTGGACGACATCATCGCTTACATCCGACAAAAGTGAGATATTAGGGTCAATGTCATTTTTTACATGTAATTCAACATTTAGGATTTAGCTGAGTTTCTTCATTTCAGTTCATGAAACTAAGGTTTGTAGTTTGGACATGGAAGTTCAATCTTGGCCTTTGAGAACAGTGTGTTCGTCAAATTAAGTCCAGAAGTCCTTTTTGAGCTTTCAGCTGTATCTCAAGGTTGTCTACAGCAGCTGAACAGGCTCAGGTGTCTTTACATGACCATGAAGAGTAAAACTTGTGTCACTTGATAACAGGAACAACCCCTACACAACAAATTCTAAATCAAAGTCTCACACATGAGGACACTTTCGTCAGCTCCATTTGCTGAAGATGACCATAGGATGCAGTTTAAAGCCACAGAAAGTTCGTAAGTGGACCTATGAGCTTAGTTCAGTCCTCTTTTAGTCCTTTAAAACCTGGAGTGACATCACTTTTCTTGTGCTGCTTTCAGACAGCTTTCGTAAGTATTTAAACCTTTGAGCCTTGAGCAAATTGGTGTGGTTTCTTTCAAAAACGTGCGAAAAAAGGCAGTGAGCAACTTTGTATCTAATAAAAAAAAAACCTAAAAATTGCAACAAAAAAAAAAAAAAAACCCAATTCAGAAAATTAAAAAAAAATAGGGACAAAATGAAAAAATGCTAGGGGGAAATAATATTCATAATTATTATCACTTCATTTTAAAATTATGTTACAGAATTATTATAATCTTTAAGCACTCTTTCCAGGTCATTTGTTTGTTTTTAACTTTCTTTCTTTCCTTTTTTTTTTTTTTTTTTTTACTAATTTCTTGCTAATTTTTTGGGTCATTTCTACTTTTGTTGCTCATTGCCTTCCTCCATGTTTTGAAAAAAATAAATCAAGCCAATATGCTCAGGTTTCAAAAGGGTTAAAAGGATGTTAGTTTGCTCACTTACATTGAGGTTTGTTGGACAAACACACACTAAATTACAAGGATTAAGTTGCAAAATTCACATTTAAGTTCAATGTGTGTGTGTGATGATGATGTAATACATTTTCATCACGGCAAAAATAAGTAATGACTTTGAATTAATTTTACATTAATTACCTGAATTTCAGTGCTGTCTTGCTTCCTTACAGTATCTCAGGAATAGTGCAAAGATGAGACATTCTCTGTTATCTCTCTGCTCATCAGGGGATGGGTGAGGTTGGCAAGACATCACTGCCACTCGCTTGGAGGCGGTCGGGTGCACTTTTGGCCCGACTCCTGAGATGGTCAATCTGGAAATGCAAATTAGCACAGCGTTGTTTGACTTGGTGCACCCAGAGGTGTGATGAAAAAGTCCTATTCTTTAGTGTCTATCTTTTCTCAAGGCATTGACAGGGCACTTCCATAAGAATAAAATATCCCTGACATTTCTTCTTGGGCTTCCAAAAGTCGCATTATCTACATAATTTATCTGCTGTATACAGTGTATACCTTCCATTACTCTTCTGAAGACTATGTGTCAGCGGGGAATAATGCAGGAAATAATGCTACACTGTGGGTGTTTAATTAATGCTTCATGTGGCTGCTGTGAGAAGACAGCCTCGTCACCGTCAGCAATTTGTGGGAAAATCAACAGTTTTGGTATTTTGTGGTCCTGTGAACTTAAAATCTGCTTTTGCTCTCTGTAGATTGCAAATTTAAATGTAATTTAAATGTTACCTTGTTTGATATCCCGTGGTTGTAAACACATCAATTGTGTCACCCCTTTCAGGCCTTCCTCTCTGGTGGTTGCAGACTTTGGTTGTGGCGACTGTAAAATAGCGCGCAGTGTGAAGAACAAAGTGCACAGCTTCGACTTGGCAGCCACCTGTGAGCTTGTCACAGTGTGTGACATGGCCGACGTGAGTGCATTGTTTCTCTGCATGTTAATTGACATACAGATTGTGTGACTGTTAGAAAATAAAATTCTCTCTATGCAGGTCCCGCTTCGTGACAGCTCTGTGGACATCGCTGTGTTCTGCCTTTCACTCATGGGGACCAACCTGGCAGATTTTCTGGCAGAGGCCAATCGTGTCTTAAAGATGGGGTAAAATATGTCACATTAATTCAGTACAGGCTTGGCAGTTATATCTTTTATGTCTGTATAACTGTTTTGCACAATCATTGTAGGGGTGTCCTTAAAATAGCAGAAGTGGCGAGCAGGTTTGAGAACGTGCGGAGCTTCATCAATGCACTGGCAAGTCTGGGATTCAAGATGTCGGCCAAGGTAAGGCTACAAATAGGATGACATCAGGGACTAGGGTTGTGTATTGGCAAGAATCTGACGATACGGTGTACATATCATGACACGGGTTACAATTTACTATATTGCGATATATTGCGATTTTTTTTTTTTAATCCATGAAAACTTTGCATTTAAACTATTAACCAAAAATTGATACAGTATCACAAAACATATCACGATATTCAAGTGCATCGATATTTTCGTACACCCCCATCAGGGACAAAGAAATTTTGTATTTGTCTACTTTTACATTTCTTTTTTATGAAATGGTAAGTTCACACTCCAGTTATGAGAACCCCCTACACTTTTGTTTCCAGCTGCACAATCTCAATTAAACATGCAAAAATACACAACAACATTTGTTGTCAGTACAGGTGTCATTATTTCTTTTCCCTTTTTAAGAATTCAGTTTGCTCAGCGAAGGAGTTCATAGCTGCCAGCTGCACCTTTCATAATTTATAGCAGGTGGCTGTGGTGCTTTGGGCAGGAAACCTCAGGTGGAGGAGAACAGTCAGTATGCTGGTTCATTGTTGGCAACAAACAGACTTGGTTAAATGTATTTAAAAGTAGATGAACATCATTTAAACATCAAAATCTGCCACATAAAGGCCGGTACTCAGGTTAGCCTGTGCATAATACATCTACCCAGTGAGTGTATGCAAAGACTGATGGGTGTTTTCTTTCTTTTTAAGGACACAGAAAATACTCATTTCTACTCCTTTGAATTAATGAAGACGGGAGACGCTCCAGAAAATATAAAGAAATTTGGACTACAGTTGAAGCCCTGTGTCTATAAGAAAAGGTGAATTGAATTGGTGTGATTTCAGACAATGACAATGACTGTTAATCGAAGCTGAATTTGTACATTTGTATCTAAATGTATTGTATTTGTATCGTGTAAGTGTATTGATACACTTTAAAGCCTCTGTAATTCACAGATTTTTAATGTAACACAGGGCTCTGATCACATGCCATCAATATCCAAGTGCAGATTTCCATCCTTCCTTCCTTCCTTCCTTCCTTCCTTCCATGTTTCCTTTCTCTGGCTTACAATTTGCTGATCTGGAATATAACCCTGTGTGGTGTTTTGTTGGAATTAAAACCTACATCCATATTTGGATGACTCGTTATACACAGGTCATCAGTTCAGTAAATTTCATGAGAAAACGAGTTGTGTAAATGTTAAGATTGTTTTGCAAAACACTTAAAACTCCAGAAAAAGTGAAAAATAAAACACAACTTTTTTAAATAAATCTGCCTCATGACTGTTTGACACACAGGAGCACTGATTGTATTGAATTTTTTTGTAGTAAAGAACAGATGTGTGGCACTAAACCACACTGAAATTTTATTATGTCATATTTTTGATTTACGTCTCATGCAATATGTGAGTTAATAAAAACTTTATTACAATTAACCAGTTTTCCCAGTCGGGAACTCATCTCTGTGATTACTCCATCACCACATGAAGGGGTAAATCCTGACTCACTCTGTTGTGTGTGTGTGTGTATAATAATTTGCCACAAGAGGGTGTAACAACACTGCAACTGAATGTGGGCAGATGAGCTGAAGATGAGTGTGTCTCCATCTCGATCATATGGTACATGAGAATTTATTTATAGAGCAACTTCGGTTGTCACAGCAGATGGCTCTAACTGATGTAGTCAACCAAAGATAACACAAGGGCAGATGGTGTGAAGATAAAGTCACAGCCACCAGTCAGTCATCTCTACTACGTGTTTGTTGTAGTTCAGTCATATGGTAGCACATTAAACAAAACAGTAAATTTGTGGAAAAAAGTTAATTGTGGTGACTTTATTGACAAATACTGGAAAATACAATGTGCATAAAAACAGTACAAAATTCAAGTAAAATGAAAAAGTGCAAAAATAATGCGTTTAAAAACATTAATGCAAATCCATCAAAGTAAAGAAACCTTAAAAAGAACAGATATTTCAGAATGTAAACAGGATTATTTCACTTCTAATGCTGAACTTGTTAAAAAAAAGCTGCAGTTTCAGTAAACCTTCATATCCAGTTTGCGCACAATGTAAAGCAGAAGGTTGAATCCAAAGCTGTCTCATCTTCACACTGTACTCTTGACATCAATGACGATGGAGTAACTGACCAGCTGAGCATATTCCTTACTGTCCTCATCCTCCACTGCTGACTTCTTCACCTCAGGAGAGCCGGGCTCTTGCATCAGAGATGTCAACGCTGAGAGGGACTCCCGCTGCTGATTATATAGAGAGAATAAAACAAGTTGAGAAACCAGAAAAACAAGATATGTTTACAGGATTTATAAACACATTTCTGAAAGGAAAGTAAACTTGCGTGTTAACTGAATTTAGTCTTACCTTGTGTTGTTTCCTGCAACATCCTTTGCTGTAAAACAAAAGAGATTTGTGTATGAGTCATCTGTTTTGAATTTTTTAAAGCAGCTTGTAGGGCTGAACAGCACCACTAGATGGCACTGTGACTTAATCTGACGCTGAGTTCAGCTCAAAGTTGCAGGTGTGAATGCATTATGTTACGGGAATATGAATGGAGACAAGTGGTGGCCCAAGTCCTCATCATTGATCTCTGATGTCAGAAGCAGCAGCTCACTTTGTACATTATGACCTCGGTAACATCACCCCAATGATGACCTGCAGTTGTCAAAAAGTGTCCCCACTACTGGAGAAGGGAGAGGGGAGGTTGACGTTGGTCCCAAAATAGCATTTCTCCCGGGGAGTCATGTTTTCTTGTGTACGCTTGTTGTACGCTGTGTGACTGACCTTCCCAAATTAGCCTGACAGGACCTTCCCACTGGAGCGAGGGATAATGGGACCGAGGCTCTGTCAACCAATGGCACCTTGACCAAATGTTCTGACCGGAGAGCCAGGCCTATTGAAATAGCTTCTGAACCTCTGCTGTGCTGTACAGTGCAGCTTTACTCACAGCAGGGCCTGATCGGATCCTGACAAACATTCTTCAGAGAAGTTAGATTTGGCAGCGAATGTGAAAATGTGGAAACTTCTGCAGGCAGAAACCATAAACAGTTCTCGGATCGTGACAGATATCCCACATCAGTCGTAAAAGACGAGTGACTCACTGATTTTTTCCAACAGCAATAAGATTAAGAAATGGATTTGTAGATTTTTCGCACTGATGAATAGCAGTTTGGATTTCATTACACTAATAACTTCATGTGGACTTTCTGAACCTTTTACCTTCGCTTTTGCAATGTGGCATTGATGATAATGTGCCAACAAGCAGCAGTCTGCTGCAGAGAGTGCCAGAAGTAACGCTGCTAAAAGCCATAGCAGGAAACTGGAAAATAAATCTGTTTATGTTACTGACAGAGGGAACATTTTCTACCTGTCTACAAGCAGGGCTGCGGTGGCAGAGGCACCTGTCTGCTTCAGCCACATCGCTTCCTGTTTGTGAATATAATACTTTGGTTTTGGTGAGTTGGGTTAACGATCTGTGCATCCTGTTTGTCTCGTATTTTGTGCCACTGACAGCGTTGGCCTCATTTACCCGTCAACACATCACCTGCTGAGCTCCAACCTGTCACCTGTGGAGGCATTTAACTCACCAGCACACCCAGAGGGTGACGACAAGGATGAGGATCATGGCAAAGGCCGAAGACATGCAGATAATGGCCACAAGTGCTGAAACACACAGACATTAAAATTGTCAAAGCCACAAATATTAAGCAAGTCTTCTCATTTTGAAACAGAAAACCTACGTCAGCATGCTGATATGATCTGATTGTCTTCCGCAAACATGTCGGTCTGAGTGCAGATGGAAAACACAAGATAAGCAAGGTTGGTAAGTTCTCACCAAACTGTTTGTCCTTGCTCATAACCTCCACGAGAATGTTGACAGTGGCTGTGTGGTGATAGAAGGACGCCTGGCAGGTGTAAAGGCCTTCATCCGCCTCTGTGTGCTCTGACTGGAAGACCATTGCATGTCCTTCCATTCGGACGTATGAGCCGACGTATGAGCCATCTCTCCTGAAACACAAGTGACTTTTAACTGAGTTTGTCTTTAAGGGGTTATTTTGAATTATTCTTATGGGTCCATCTCACAAGAGTGCCTGACTTCCTTCCTCTATCTGCTCTAACTCCATCTGCGTCTCCTATAGACATAAATGTTCAAAACTGCACAACAAACATGAAATTTAATTTGTTTTAAAGGCCCACTGTGTAGAATTAAGAGGCATGTATTGGCAGATATCGTATATCATCTTCATAACTATGTGTTCAGTAGTTTTTAATAACCTGAGAATAAGAATTGCTGTATTTACCTTAAAATGAGCCTTTTATATCTACGTATGGAGCGGGTCCTCTTGCACAGGGTTCGCCATGTTGTTCTACAGTAGCCCAGAACGGACAAATCAAACACTGACTCTAGATAGGGACATTCTTGTGTTTTTGCATTTTCCTGTTCTCGTGTCTGCCACCATATTTCTCCTACATGCTTGGCACACGGGAGAAGTTTCAGTTGTGCACCCTCACTGTTAGATGCCACTAAATCCAACACCCTGGCCCCTATAGAAGGTTCAGTAATTTGCTAAATCAGCTGGGCACTGTACATTTTAGCAGAGGCTACACATGTGCCAGAAGTACATGAACATTGGTTGGGGCTATTTTCAGCTGTGGATTAATACGCATTCGGTGCTCCAGTGAGTATTTATAGCAGGGTGTGTTTGTGGAACTGATTCAAAGTAAACAGTGCCTACAATTTAATACAACGAGGGGCTGTGGTACAGAGGAATAAGTTGTGTCAGGCTTTGGCTACACTGATGATCAGTTCATTTTGGTCTTTTCATGGGAATTGCTGATGATTGGAAAACATATAATATCTCTAAACTTATACTTTAAGGTCAAAGTGATGCTGGATGATACTAATGTTACGGAAACAATCCAGTTGACATCTTCAGACTGATATTCTTAGCTCTCTGGATGTGTTAGCTCCTTTAAATAGAGAGAACTGTGCAGCCCACAGTGTGTACAGGTGCTTGCCCGTGATGATTAGGTGGAAGATAATAAAAGATAGTCCACCTTTTACAGCTGAGGTCGTACTCTGGCACGTTGCCTTCGACACGGAGCAGTACTCTCTGGTTGCGATGATTTTCCTGGAGAGTCAGTCTGTGTGTGATGGTTTCACCACCGTAGCGGGTTTGCAGAGGAGTCGTGTGGTTTAAGACTCTCACGGAGGAGATATCTGCAGAAAAGTCAGATGAAATTTGAAGATGAACTTTGTATCTTTGGTTATCTGAGTGCATTGATGTGTTATACTACATTTCATGTAATCTTGTTTCTGTTAAACCCACAGTATTTAGGAATACGAATGGTCTTCTTCTCTGTGGCTCCATGTTCAAACTGATACACACAGGTCAGGTCCTGTCCCTCATGAAGGGCCAGAGGAAACTGATAAGTCAGCCTGGCTTTGCGGACACGCCCTTCATACTCTGAGTTCAGGGATGTTTGGCCTTTGGCATTTTCGGGAAGGACCCAGGCGAGGTTCGTCCCGGCACCCTCCGCTCTGCAGTCACACACTGCCAGCCAGAAGGGAGAGTCCTGCTGCCTCACCACAGACACACTCAGCACAGGGGCTTCTGAAAAAGAAAACAAGGGGTGACAGCAAGGGGATGAGCAGCTGTGTGAGTCACAGAGAGAAATATCTCAAAGAAAGAAATAACGTACTGTGCACAAGAATGTGTATTGTTCTTTTTTCTGGTGCCTCCAGGCTCAGATGCTCCACCATGCAGGTCACATTCTGACCGGAATACAAAGAGGACAAGAAGTACGCAGAGCCACGGGCTGATACCAAACCATCAGCCTGGACTTTAGTCTCTGACACATAACTGATGCTGTTGTCTTTGTTTCCAACATGCCAGGTTATGTTTGCTGCAGGGGCAACACTGGTCACAGAGCAGTCCACCTTTGTGTACTCGTCACCGTCTTTCCACTCAGTGCTGGAGTCGATGGTGATGTTTGGGCGAGCTGCGTGAGAACAGAAGTTAAACTACAGGAAGCGAAAGGTTTCTTTTGAGAGAAAGATAAAAATCTGTGGCGCTCATACATCCAAATATGTCCGCTACTCAGACAAAATTATCCATCGCTTGATTTTTGTGAACATACCGCAAAGAGGGAGGGTTATGCTTCTGTTCTCTGGCTCCTCAAACGCAGGGTGATTTATCACACACTCGGCAGTGAGCTCCCAAGGCGAGCAGGCAGGGAGGAGTAAAACTCCCCTGACA